CGCGCAGAGGCAGCGATGACAGCAGCCGCAGAAGCGTCAAATACTAACCAGCCAGGTTTTAAATCGAGCAACTGTTTTGAAGTTCTCATGTCCGACGCTACAGAGACTGTAGCTGAGGTTGATGAGGCATCAAATCAGCAAAAATCTTTGTGAAGGGCACCCTACGGGTCTCTTCGAGCCTCTCTCCTACTCTAAGTTTTATGTCAATAAACGTAGGTAGAGGGGGCTCAACACAAAACATTGTGCTTGCCCGAGCATTTGAGCTGAGTATCGACGTGGTTCTTGTTCAAGAACCTTTGTGGAATAAACAAAAGAACACAACAAAGGATCACCCAGGATATACCTATCATCTGCCTAACGGCGGCGAAAATGTTAGGCCGAGGGCTGTGACCTATACCCGGATAGACGATAAAAAGATATTGGCAATACAGATCTTTCCTTATGTTGTGTCTACAGGAGACTATTGCTGGGTTGAAGTGAACGGCATTACTTTTCTCAACGTCTATAAGGCACTCAATGACTTGACAGCTATACAGCCTCTCATCAACTGGACTCCACCACCAAACTCCGTCGCTGCTGGGGACTTCAACTCGGTATATTGGGCTTGGAAACCTGGCGTGGAACGTCCTCATGGACAAGGAGAAATGATCGAGAAATGGGCAGACAAATACCATTTGACCTGTCGTATTATTGGGGAGCCCACTTACCGAGCTGGAAACACGCTAGATCTAGTTTAGAGTAATGTCGACGGTGCCCGTGCTTGGGTAGATCGTGGTGGATGTGTCACCAGCAATCACTTCCCTATCCGAGGAAAAATTCCGGTTCGCAACTCAGTGATGAGACCCGAAAAGGCAAAACTCTGAGTAACAAAGGAAAAGCTACCCAGATACGCCAAGGTAATTGCACAGTGGACTCAACCACCAGCAGTTCTTGACACAATCGAGAGGGTTGAAGAGTATGCCGAGGAAATTTGTTTCCATCTCACTAATTCAATCAATGCAGTAGGAACACAACCAAAAGCCCACTGCGGCAGATCTGCTCCGTGGTGGACCCCAGAAAGCAAGGAAGCATTTGCCGAGTACAAAAGCGCGATAACTCCCAGCCAACGGGCACTCAGCGCGAAAAAGCTCCGATCAGTTGTGAAGACCTCGAGAAAGGAGTTCAAAACCCAACAGGTCGAATCAATTACTACGCCGACTGATGTATTCAAGCTAATGAGAATGGATAACCCCAGACAGGCTAGTATCCCTCCGTCACTGAATCACAATGGGACGTTGATAACAGTTCCATTAAAATGGGCCACGATCCTTCGCGACTCCCTCCTGGCATGATTTCAGGCATCAGAAGACTTGTCACCATGTACAGTCGCGAGCAGCAGTCAGATACCATAGGAAGAGGACGTAACAGATGAAAAAGTCCGAGCCTGTACCATTGGTTGCGGAAATACGGCCCCAGGAGCAGACGGAGTCTCCGTAAACCTGCTGGAGGCGTGTTGGAATACAATCGGGCCTTGGATTTCCCAACTGTTCCGAGCTTGCATTCTGCTTGGCACCCATCCACAGTGTTTCAAATTAGCTGAAGTTGTCCTCCTTCAAAAGAACGATAGAGACCCAACGACAATCAAGGGTTGGAGACCAATCGCTCTTCTCTCATGCTTGGGAAGAGGGTTAGAAAGGCTCTTAGCTAAGCGGTTGGCACACCTTGCAGTTATTCATGATTTAGTCGTCCAGCAACAGTTTGGTGCACTACCAAAGCGCTCAGCAACGGATCTGGTCTCATGTGTGGTCCACAACATCGAAGAGGCAAATTCAAAAGGATGGGCAGTTACCTTTGTAACGTTGGACGTTCAAGGAACATTCGACGCGGTACTCCATAACCGATTAGTGAGGAGGATGCAGGAGCAGGGATGGCCGGAATCTATTCTCAAATGGACTAGCTCCTTCCTCGCCAATCGGATGGTTCAAGTGCGATACTCTGGGGGAGTCACTACCAAAAGAGAGCTAGTGTGCGGAGTTCCGTAGGGCTCACCGATCTCACCACTTCTCTTTCTTCTATATATGGCAGAGCCCATGCGAGCTGGAACCCCAGGTCTGAGGTTTAGCTACGCCGACGATATCGGTATCCTTGGATTTGGCCGGACGATTACAGAGTCTGCAGCCGCAGCACAGGATGAGGTCAATAAACTACTAGACTGGGCTCGAAATAATGCCGTCGCTTTCGATACAGACAAGTCCGAAGTCGTACAATTCCCCGGACGATACCGCGAAACATCGATAAGAATTTATGTCAACGGAACCCTCATAGAACCGTCGCAAAATGTCCGCTAGTTTGGTGTGTACCTCGATCCTCGACTAAACTTCAAACACCACGTCACAACTTGGTGTGGCAAAGCGTTGAAATTTGCACAGCACATGCGTCGCTTTAATACAGCCTACTGAGGAGCCGCTCCTGGGGCGTTGGTTAAAGCGATCGACACATGTATCGTCCCAATCGCAACAAACGGAGCTGACGTCTGGTGGCCTGGCCTTAGACGCCCAACAGTACGAGTGATGGTGACACCGCCCACTGCTGGCCTATGTAGTATGATTAATAAGGCTGTCTTAATTGGTCTTAGATCAGCACTACCGGTAATGAGGACAACCCCCAACGTCGTACTACATAGGGAAGGAGGAATACCAACCGGGAAAATCATTCTCGAAGGAAACCGACTTCGCCTCTCTGCCAGAATGCAAACACTTGACGACCGCCATCCGCTCAGGATCCGTGCTGCAGTTTGTCCAAATGTCGGTACGTGGAAATATAAGAAGCACAATCGAAAATCTGCGCGTCCTGAAATTCAAATGTCACGGGCTCAGCGTGCTTATAGACAGCTACCAGAAGCATAGGCCGCTGAACCTCTTGCCTCACCATTTTATCAATTGCGGCCGGGTTCGAAGGTTGGTTCGAGAAAAGACCAAGTAGAAGCCTGTAAACTTTGGATCACTAATGTGCCAAAGTCAGAAATCTGTGCTTACTCAGACGGAGCATCGGAGGGAAAGGGACGCTCAGCTTGGGGTTTCGTCCTAAAGCTGGATGGGAAAGCTTTTCAAAAAGGAAGTGGCATAAAGCACGGTGGAGAGGCTTTAGATGCAGAGATTACGGGGGCACAGGAAGCTCTTAAAGCAGCGTTTGGTCACCTAAGAGGGAAGGAATACTAGGCTAAGGGAACGACGCAGTGTATTAATGTGTTGATGGATAGTCGACATGCGATAAATGCACTGAGCACGGGCAGGTCCTCGACCAGCCACGAGGAAGTACGAAAGTTTCGCAAATTATCTGGGCTAGCTCAGGTAAGAATAAAGTGGGTACCAGAGCACTCGGGACTACTTGGAAATGAGGAAGCAGACGCAGCGGCCAAATCTGCCCTACGAACGCTTCCCAGCGTGGAAACTGAGCCAGCAACCACCACGACAGCATTTTTACACCAAAAATTGCATCGACAGCGACAGACTTTGCTCGACAGCTGGTGGAATGAAACTTGCCCGTCACGGTATCGTGAGCTAGATCTGCTCATGCGCCGTCGCAAACCAACAGAACTGGGGCTTTCTAGGCTACAGTTACGACATCTTATTGCAGCCCGTACAGGCCACGGCAATTTCGCGGCGTACCATCGTCGCTTCAACAATCCACACGCTATCACAGAGTGCATCTGTGGGGAGGAAACCACCCCTACCAACTTCATACATTGTCGACTCAACGCAAACATCACGCGTCGAATCAGAGGGTCATTGTCACACAGTGTCTTCTTACACAAGCTACTCGGGCATAAGTGCTTCGAGAGCTTCAAACAATTTGCGCAGGATACCAATTGTTTTGGGTATTCTCCTGTGCATCCATCTCCTACTCTCAGTGGAGATCGAATATAACTCGTCAGGAAACTAAACCTGAGAGTCTAGGGCACTCAAACTATTCACATGCAGAAGACTGGAACAATAAAAATTGGATAACCTTGTACGTGGCAGGTATTAGAATATGCAGTCCTAATGGAGTGCACATCCTACAATAGTCTTAGACTTATAGAGGATGTAAATGGATTTTAAAAAAAAAAAACTAAACCTGACAAAATGGGAATCAAAGCGAGGAGTATTGCTTCCCATTCTAATTTCTTTGCAATTTATCTTTTTCTTTTGTCAGTTTTCGGAAAAGGAGTTCGCGTCGGCGCATATTTTTTAACTTACTGCTAGTTTTGTGGTGGTTCATGCGGTGGAATCAAGCTGGGTATGTCTTAGATGTAGTTCTGGCTGTGAACATCGGTCCTGTACTCATAGTGGATTTCGAGCTTTAGCTTAGGACTTTAATAAAAAACAACAACTCACACTCATTGAACGGCTTCTTCTCCATTATCAAGGGTCTGTGATGAGAAAGGCTTCGACCCTACCGTCTAATCTGATTGTGGCTAGCTTCATGACAATGATTGCGCAACTGAGGTTAACTGGCGTTACCGTGTAGAGACTCACTTATCTGTTACGTAATCCCAAACTGTAAATATTCTGCTTTTTTGTTAGAGCTTGGGGGGGGAGGGGGGTACACAGGGAAATCGACTCAAGAAGATTACTGTTGCCAATACAATTATTGTGTGACAGTACGAGCCCAGATGTGCATTACTAGATAGTCGAAGATACATATGGTGATAGGGAATGTGTTGGAAGATGAAGACAATACAGAGGGCGAAAGCGATTTGGAATCCTCATGGAAGTGAGAACTTTGTTACTCAATCTCAGCTCTGCAGACTCTGAAGACTCTATAGTGAAAGCTGGAGGTTTGTAGGGGACACCACTGAAGGTGTTGAGAATAGTCACCCTGAAGGAGGAACAACTGCTGTGTATACGTGTTTCTTACAGAGAAGAAGATAAGGATCGATACATGTGTTAACCACCAATTGTTCTTACTGTTGTAGTAGGCTTGCGTTATAAAAAACATCTGAGTATTCTGACACTTCCATTTAACAATGCAGGACCCGCCTACCCTGGATTCGTCAAGACGGATGGACCTGGTGTCGAGATTTTAGGATTGTTTGTCCCTGAAAGACTTGAAGACGATGGCTGCTTGCATGCCACTCTGTTTTTGGAATCGTACTGGTAAGCTCCATAAAAATTACACTGCTTGTCCAGTATGATAACATAATTATTGGTCACTGATTCATCTTTGTTCATGTTGTCAGCTAAATAATTAACTGGATTAACAGATAAACTTACGTCGTGAAATTTTATCGCTTTCATATAGTTGCAGAGGAAATTTCCAAGCCTCAAGCATTCCTGTGGAGGTTATTATTCTTGCCCTCCTTATACGACTTGCTCGAAGATATGTAGGAGATATCTGTGCATCCCGAAAAATCTTGCAGGCAACATGCATGTGGCTATTGATCGATTTGCTCGAAAACTTGCGTGAGCCGCATTGGTAATCGCCCACACCTTCGAATAGCGTTTCTCCGACGGAATTTTCTCCGGGAGTTAAGGCCAGACGAGGTTCCGGTTCCATCTCCCAAAGTCCGGCACACTTCTCCCAATCACCTTTTCTCCTGTAGACCATGCCTAATATTTCATACTGAGAACCTATTACTGTGAAATAGGAATTATCGATTATTTCTAGCTCATCGTCAGACGGCTGTAAGCATAAGCCAGATATGTCATAAGCATACCTCTATTTTGATGTGGAGAAGTGATGGGCTCGCTTGGCAACAAGAATACGAGTGCCCCAAATAACTTGTTAACTACTTCAGAACTATCAAGACGAGTTTGCTGACCAATAGATATCAACCTTCGAAGCTCCCTAACAGTATTTTCACGGATCCTTTCTACGTAGATACTTTCAAATAATTCACCCTTACAGTTATAACCACGTATTCTTATTAACTTTCCGAGTCCGGAATTGGAAGAGTCTTCGATTCCAAGAGGTAGTTCCACAGGTCGATAGCAGCGATAATCTGGCATAGATTTGAATTTCATGATTACACCGAAAAATCGGCAGCTCGAGTCCATGATCAAACGTAGGTTTCCAGGATGACCTAAATACTTGTCAGATATATCTTCGTCGTTAACTGAGCCTTTCTTCCAGAGGCTCTGGAAACCCTGATTTCTACCTATTTTATAAAATTTATTTTCTATCGAGATAGGCCAGGAGAATAGGCTTGCATCAGAGATAAAGAAAACGGTTGAAGCATCGTACACAGCGGGAAATCTAAAAATCGTTTTGGTTTGATAGAGAGCGTTACAGGCTCTATTAATTTAAGTTTTGATATTCAGATGAGATACAACATTTGTTCCACAAATATAATCACCTTCAGCAAGAGTTGCCCCTACCCTGCAGACCTGAAGCGTCGTTACAGTGAAGAACAGTGCGAGTGGTGTTTTCATATTTCGTCAAACGAAGCTTGGAAGATGACGAATATTTATCAGACAACTATTACTGAACTTAACAGAAAGATATATATGACTTTCTAGCTCATGTCTGGGCAAAGGATTCGACTAAAGTTTGCCATCAGCTCTCGAGTAAACTGAGTCGCTTGTTCATTCCGCCTTCCTATTGCTGTCGGCGGAAGGATGTGATTCCCAAGAATCAAGATTAAAATCTCATAAAACTTCCCTTTAATTTTTCTAATATGAAATAGAGATCATAATTGTATTTACATTTGCTTATACATTCTGTGACTCTAAGGGACTGTGAATACCCCTGCCTTCGGACCAAAAAATTATTTGACTTGAGTAGTTGGTAGTCTCATGGACCTCCCTTAGCAATGACTATCCGAAAATTCCCCATACAAGCCTTCTTTCTATCTACAACTTAAGGAAGAATTCTACCATCCGTAACTTTTTCACTCCGATCAGTGAGGCATAGTCTTAAATCAATTGCAGGCATGAGAAATGAGAATACCCAGAGCGCAGGACTTTCCAAAGACTGGCATTAGGACTAGATCCAGAGATATAGGTAATATCGACGAGCGGTCGGAGAGTCCGGATAGCTGAGCGCTGCACGTCTTCATGCATCTAAAATTATCTTTCTGGGGCTTCTGCTTCCTTTCTTTACGATGCATTATTCAGGCCACAGGATAATTAAGGACTTGTCAGCTTCGGAGCCAGAAAAACGTTGAAATGAGTGCATGCTTTAAATTAGTTCAGCCCAGCCCAGCATTATTGTACCGACAAGCATTTTTCTGGGTTTTTTACTCCTAGACTATTGAAGCTCTTCCCTCAATCACTGAATCCAATTTGGAGTTCGATAAGTCTACAGATGGAGCAGGAGATTGACGAGGGACAAAGCTGACGGTCGTTGAGCTTTCGATCTTCTGAAGAGATGCATTCGTCACAGTACTGACTAACTACTACGATTCTGATTTGCGCTAAACTCCAAAAGATGAAGTTATCCAACTAGCAACGCCTGTAATTTTTTGTTTGTGATTTTAAGGTCCTAAGCTACTGCTCCCGGTCCGCTATGGGTACAAGACCGGTGGAGCCGGAAGGGATCCCTGTGTTCTTTACCACAGCCCAACTCATTCCAACCGCGTGAAACCACTACCTAAATTGTAGCCGGTTTAAAACAAAAACAAATTCTAACAGTCAAAATTAATAAACAAAGGAAATTCCAATATAACGGTCCAGTATCAGCGCTCCTCACCCTGACTCCTTCCCTTTCACGGTTTCCACCATAAATATTATTCTTCGTCCATGCTGAGAGCTGTGGACAAGGTCGCAGGTTGGCTTTTGAAGCAGCCAGTTTCCTGCACAAACGTTGAAAATTCTTTGAGGCATTTGGGCCCTAGAAGAATTTTAAGAAATTGTTGGTATGGGGTAGTTCCCCTTAGTCGTCGGGTATGACGAGTGTAAAGTCTGCAATGCATGAAATGCGTTGCTGTAGTCTCCTCTCCGCACGAACACTTCATGTTCGCGTTTGGGTTGTTGAAACGTCTGTGGTGCGCGGCGAAATTTCCGTGACCGGTACGAGCCGCGATGACTTCAAATAGAAGTCGTCGTGGAAGTGATAGTTCCGGTGGCTTTTTCCGGCGCATCATCAAGTCTAGTTCGCGGTATCTGGGTGGGCATGATTCGTCCCAGAATTGGTCTAGCAGTGTCTGTCTCTTCTGATTCATAAGCCGGTAGAGGTATGCACTGCTGATATTTTGAGCAACGCCAGTAATGTGTGTGTGTGTGTGTTTGTTGTACTACTAGAGTTTGTGACTATCTAGCACATTGGCTTCCTCTCTGACCCAGGCCACATCTTGTACAGTGCTCCTACCCTCTTTTGGTACTCAAAAGATCATTGATATATTCCCCTTGATGAATAGCCAGTCAGCTCAGTGTTTACCCGTGGAATTCAGCCACCTTTTCTACAGAACCTTCTACCCAAAAAAGTAAAAATGGCAGCAATGGAAACTGCATGCGCTGGAAAAAGTCTCAAAAAACCTGCAGCCCCAGCCAGGCGAGACCTAGACACCGGGACCACATGAGGTGCGCATATTCATCTGTATCTCCCTTCTTTGTAACAGTCGAGGGCGACTTGATCCAATCCGCCATCTCCGTATCGGGTGCTGGGTACGCCTTGGAAGCTCATCAGATGGCTTTTCCTCCATGATCAAGGGTTGGTGGCGAGAAGGGCTCCAACCCTATCATCTGATCTGATCGTGGTTAGCTTCATGATGATGGTAACAGGGGGGTTGTGTTGAGAGATGAAGACGATAAAGACCGCGAAAGCGATTGGGAATCCTCGTCGAAGTTAAGACTTTTTTACTCAATCTCGGCTCTGCAGACTCTACAGTGAGAGCTGGAGGCTCGTAGAGGACACCACTGACAGATGTTGAGAATAGTCCCCCGCAACGCCTGTAATAATCAAGTATAAACAGACCATAAAAATCTACAGTAAGAGAGATGAAGTGTGCCTGACTCACTCGTAATAGTTAGGATTCATAGTGATCAAACCATCTCCTGTTGGTGTCGCTGACAAGGACGAAGTCTTCGGATCCTAGGGGTGCCAGAGTATTCACTTAGTATATTCTACATATCTGGGATATCCAAGGAAAATCACATCCGAATCGGAGTCAAAATCAAATACAAGCACATCTACCATCGATGACTTCTCATCAATGTTGGTCATGTTATTCTCACGTAAGTTCTTTACCTCAATCTTAATACTGTGACGGAAAACGAGTTGGTGATGAATAAATCGATTTATTAAACTACACGAGGAGAAATGAGCGAAACAGCCTCCTCCCCTCCAGGTATCACCAAACCAGTGGCTTTCAGATCCACTCGAGCGGAAAATCGCACTGCGTAATTCCCTTCTGGGAAGATTCGACGCTAGAAGCGATGTAGAAACATGGGAGAATGGTCAACCAGAGTCTATCCCATAAAACAGAGAGGTCTCGTTGGAAGAAGTTACAGCGTCAACCATAGGAAGTAAAGAAACGGCTCCAGGATATGACAAAATCACCATCCGACTACTCAAGGTTTACTGGAGCTCGATTGGAACATTCGTCAGGTGTGAAAGGTTTAAAGAATTCAGAAGTACTTGAAAGACGTTAACTCAATAGGAATTGATAATTTTTCCTTAGGAAGCTAATCTGCCTACGACGGCTCCTGTCCTTTATGTCCTCCTCAGCGTCGCGTTTAAGCTCCCCTCCTAGCCTGCCTGAGAATACTCCATTCTCCCCGGCTACCCTCTTTCCTGTGACATCCTCCCCCCCTTAGTACGTACTCCCTTGGGTCCTTCCTTATGCGCAACCTTGCAATCATCCTTATGCAACACTGAGACTCGTTCTTGTGCGCAACCTTGCATTAATCCTTATGCGACACTTAGATCCCTCTTTGTGCGTATCCTTGCATTCTTCCCCATGCAACTTTTCGCGTCTCTGTAAGCGCTGCTTCGTTGGCGCTTAAAGATCTAGCCGGGTTGGTCCTAGTGACCAGTCCCAATTCGGGCACAGCCCGTAACATCAGGGACATCTTTCAGGCATGTCTGAACTTGGAATATTTTCCAAAACCCTTCAAGGTGGCGGAAGTTGTACTACTTCCTAAAATTGGACGCGATCTCTCCAGCCCAAAAGGATGGCGACCTATATCGTTACTCTCCAGCTTAGGCAAGGGACTGGAAAGACTAATAGCTTAACGGATGTCCTGGCTTGCGCATAAGTACAAGGCAGTACCTTCTCAACTATTCGGCGCGCTACCAGGTCGCTCAGCAGTCGACCTGGTATCGTGTGTCACACACGATGCAGAAGCTGCAATGAGATACAAAAAAGTCACAGCTATGGTCACGCTCGACATTCAAGGTGCCTTCGATGCAGTGCTATACAATAGGCTGCTCGCACGAATGCGAAGTCAGGGCTAGCCGCTATCACTCTGTCGCTGGGTAGAATCGTTTCTGAAAAGCCGAACAGTCTTGGTAAGACATGAAGAAGGCGTAACAGATAAGAAGCTTGTTGAGTGCGGTGTCCCTCAAGGATCACCACTTTCGCCACTTCTATTGATGTTATACATCTCGATCCTACTCGAGGATGGCACTTCAAGCTGTGGATTCGGATATGCAGACGACATCGCCATTGTTCGAGTCGGTAAAAGTCCTTGCGAAGCTGTTGAGGCTGTCCAGGTCGAAGTAGACAGGATAGTCCAACTAGCTTCATTACATATGATTAGATTCTACCCTTCGAAGTCTGAGCTCCTGATCATTGGGGGTGGACCAAAGAAGAAACTAGACTCATCCAACCTAACGGTTAGAGTTGGGGAACAGCTCATTACGCCTTCTCCGCATATTCGATGGCTTGGAGTTTGGCTCGATTCCCAACTAACCATCAGACAGCATGTTCAGGAATGGTGTAGCAATGCACAGCGACTATCCCACTTCATACGTAGCGTAAATAGAGTCCAACGAGGTGCGGCTCCGGGACCATTAATACGTGCGGTGAATGTATGTGTAGTTAGTACGTCAGTGTATGGCGCTAAAGCCTGGTGGCCTGGACTGACCCGTATTACGACGATACGAGACAAGAAAG